AGAATTATTTATTACTTTTTTATAAAATATTAGAATTAGAATTTTAGCTTTTATTTTTATTATAAGTATATAATTAAGAACTTCTTTTATAGCTAATTAGTTATTTAATAATATTTAATTCTTATTCTAAAAATAGGTAATTATAACTCGAATAATCTTTACTAAATATTTTTTTTTTTTAGTATTTTTTGCTTTTTTCTACTTAAAGTATTTAATAAAGTATTAGTAAATTATATTTATACTTAATATAATACTTATACTTAATATAATACTTATACTTAATATAATACTTATATCTAGTTAATTAGTTAATATATTTTCTAAAATACCTGAAATAGAATTATTAGATTTAGTATTTATAACTAATAATTATATAATTACTTTTTTATATATAAAGATTCGAAATATTAGTATTATTAAAGCTTAATATATATTATTAAGAATAGAAAATAAAATTAAGTTATTTTATAATCTAGTAATTAGCTATTTATAAAAATTAGAATTTTACTTATTATTATTTTATTTCTTATAAATTATTAATTTAGTATTATTATTTTCCATATTTATTTTAATAAAGCTTAAGATATTTATTAGGCTCTAATATAATAAAATAATTATCTATAAAGTTAAACTTGGCTTTTCTATAAGTATTTTTACTAGAGAAATATCTTTTTTTAGTTATCTAGCTATTAGTTAATTTACTATTATATTTAATATATTATAAGAACTATTTGGGCCTTATAATTACAAGTTAATTATATTTCTTATAATAAGTTTATTAACTTATATAATACTATATTTAATTACTTATTTATATTCTAAAAAATTATACTTAAAAGTATTTTATGATTTCTTTTTTATATTTTATAAATTTATTTATTTATCTAGAATTAATAAGCTTATTATTATATTTATATTTATTTATAAACTTCTTGTTTTTATAAAAGAAGTACTTATATTCTTATATTTAAATATAATTAATTCTTGGCTTTTTTCTAGAAAATACTTATTTAAAATAAATCTTTTTATTATTAAGCTTTAGCTTATTATATATATAATTTTAAATATAATAGTTTGCCTTAGCTATTTTATTTCAGAATTCTAATAGAAGATTTACTTCTTATAATAAAATATATATATTATTTTCTATAATTTATATATTTCTCTTAACTAGTTTATTCTAGTATAATAATACTATTATTATATTTTATAATTTTATGTTTTTAAAGGTTTTCTAGTCTTATATTACCTTAAATAATTAGTTTCTTTATTTTATATTTTATATTAAGCCTTTAAGTTTATAGGTATTATATAGGTATTATATAGCTATATATTTTAATTTTATTAATAAAACTTATTTCTTTTATATTATATTATTAAGAATTAAAAAAAAGTAATTATAGCTATTAATATTAATCAGAAATAGGCCTATTATATTAAATTAAATTAGGACTAAAATTATAATCTTTTATAGACTAAGTATTTTCGAGATCTTATTTTTTATTTTTATTAGAAAATAGATTTTATAAAGCTCAATATTATATAAGATCTAAATTACTTTATTAAAAGTTATAACTTTATAAAAATAATATAGTTTATTTAGTCTAAAATAACTAAATCTTTTATATATAAGCTTATATCTAGTAATAATAGTTATTTTTATTAAAGTCTAATATAAGTAAATAATTAAAGGTTTTAAATTATTTCTTTTTTATTTAGTATTCTTATTTCTAACTTCCTTATTATTTGATTTTATAATCGGCTATCTATAAGAATTTGTATTTTATATATTAATTTTAGTTAATATAAATATAATTTGCTTTTCTTTTTCTAATATTATATAAGAAACTAAATAAAGTTTATTAGTTATTCTAGCTTTAATAATTATTTTTATTTTATATTTAAAATATAGCTTTTTATAATTAATTTCTTTTTTAAAACCTGCTTTATATAAATATCTTATTAATAAGAAACTAATACTAAAATCGAATATAAAAAGATAATTAAAAACTAGTATTAAAGTTTTATTTAATATATATATTTCTATAATTTCTTTTTATCTAGTATATAATACTTTTTTACTAATTTAAATTAGTATATATTTAATAGAAACTAGTATAAACCCAAAGCAGAAAAATTAGTTAGTTATATATATAATATAGATCAAGTTAAGTAGCCAGAAAGCCGGATATTTACTAATACTATTTTAAGAAAATAAAATAATCTTAATTTTAATATCTGTTTCAGAATTGAATTCCTTAATAAATATAGTATTTTACTTGAAATTATTAGTAATTACTAGAGCCTTAGCTTTTTTAAATAGCTTTAATAATAGCTTTCTTGATTTTTTAAATAAAATAATAATTTCTTCTAATTAATTCTAGTAATTTTATATATAGTATTAAGATATAAATAATTATATATAAAATAATTATATCTTTTATATATATAATACTCTGTTTTTCCGTTTTTTAAAGAATTAAACTAGTAATAATAATAATAATAATAATAATAATATTAAAGGAAACAGTTATAAGTATTATAAATAATAAAAGTACTTTTTAGTATAATATATATTTTAAAACTATTTTTCTTATTTACTAAAATCTTAATCTTTTTATTAATATTATATAATATCTATTAATAATTATATTATATTTATTTAATAGCTTTATATTAAATATTATAAATAATATAAAATCGGGATATATAATTTTTATTATAGAATTTATAAGATTAAATCTATAATAATTTTTTTTATTTTAGTTTATCTAGAATATATTTCCTTTTTCTTTATATATTTAAAGCTCTAGATCTTTTAAATTATTATTATAACTTTAATTAAAGAAAATTAGTAATATTTTATTTTAAGGAATTATTATATTATCTTAATATAATTAGCTTATTAATCTTAATAGTATCTTTATTAGAAAGTAATTAACTAATATAATATAGAATAATAGCTTTATTTTTATTATATTAAATAATCTTTTTTTAAGCTTCTTAAAATCTTTTTTAAACTTTAACTTTATTATTTCTTTTATTATTTTATTAATTTTATTCTTGCTTTTTCTTTTAATAAATATATTAGATATTATAAATATTATAAATATTATATTTATAATATATATATTCTTATTTAGTTTAATAATATATTAGATTTCTTTAGTATAAAGCTTAGAAATATATTTTTTATAATTATAGAAAGATAATAATTTAATATTTTATAATAAAAGTAAAAATATTTATAGCTTATTAGCTATATTTATTTATTAATATATTACTATTTTTCCTTATATCTTTAGCTTAATAATATATGGTTTTTCTTTATATTTTTAACTTAATAGATTTCTATTTTGCCTTATATTAAATATTATAGTATTTATTCGAATTCTTTTATAAAGTTTTATAGTAAAGATTATATTTTCTCTTATATTAACTATATAATACCTTTATATTATATAAATAGAATATTTAATATATAGTTTTACTAAATATTTTAATAAACTAGAGCTTTATAATCTATTAAAAATATATTTCTTAGTTAGATATAATTTAATAAAAAAATAATATAATAGAAATAAAGGTAAAAAAAGAGTCTCGATTATATTAACTAAAGAAAAAAAAAGAGAAAGAGAGATTATAGACTTTTATAGAGCTATAATCTCGCTAGATTATATAATATTATATTTATATATAAAAAGTTATATAACTTGTTTTTTTTTAATATTTAAGCTTTTTAAGAATAAATTTAAATAGATTTTATTTTAAAATTATTTACTTAAATCCTTATTTTAACTTATTATATTAAGTAATTAAAAATAAAATATATATATTTTAATAATAATATAATATATAAAGTATTTCTTAATTATAAATAACGTTTTTAAATTAATAATTATAATAAACTAATAAATATAATAAATTAATAAATATAATAAACTAATAAATATAATAAACTAATAAATATAACGAATTAATAAATATAATAAACTAATAAATATAGAAGTTTCATATATAATTAAGGCAGTATAAAATAGTAATTAAATTACCTGAATTTAATAGCTTAAATTATAGAACTTGAATATAAAATATAATAATTAAAGAAATTTATATTATAATATATAATTAAAAAAATATTATTATATAATTCTATATAAAATAAAAAGAATTATTTTTTTAGCTATTAATTTTATTTTATAAGTTTTTTATATTTAAATTTTAATATATATTATCAAATCCTATAATGAATTTAATAAAAAATTATTAAGTTTATATTTATTATATTTAGAAAGTTATATAATAAAATTAAAATATTAAGATATAGTCTATATTTCTTAACAAATCTTAATATTTTTAAAAATATAGCTTTAATATATAACGAAACGTAAATCCTATAACGATTTTAAAACGCAAGAACAAACTTATTATAATTACAAAATTCCTATCTCTTACTCAAATTTATATAAGTACGCTCGTATCGACGGAAAAGGATTTCTTACTCGCCTTAATGTACGGAGTACTCCGTATCCAATCCGGAGAAGGATAGATGTTGGACGCTCCCGAACTGCTGGGTTGCAGCTAACGCCTCGCGTTTCTGCCAAAGGACGGTGGCTTAAGCTATGGTTCAAGTTGTACAGCAATAGTTTTCGATAACCCCGATTTCACCAACCCTTAAGTTTCGCTGAGATACCTATATTTAGAGGAGAGGATGAGATAAAGCGATGTAAAGTTTAGCACTCGTTCGTTATCAGCGCTTATGTTACGGTGGTGATCATTGGCGGAGCGCAAGACGATGCGGAGATGCTACGAATGGAGCAGACAGTCTCAAGCTCGTTAGAGTAAGAATGAGTGTCCGCCGTGACTTCGAACCGACTCAATGTTGGAATGTGATCTCTACCGCAAGTGTTATTGACGGCGATCGTGGGTTTTATATATCCAGAGAGACGATAGGTACATGTGAAAATTAAAGATTGATTGAGAATAATTTAGGTAAAAATGAGCGTTCTAATTATCCATGATGTCGAGACCTTGCGTTTCGGGGTTTTGAGGAGCTTTATCGGTTCCAGGTCGCACGTACATATACATGTTTGCGGATTTCAAGCATTCGGTGCACGATTGTGACACAGCGTCGGGGTGTCGTATCAACGATTTATACTGCCGCGTTCCTGTGGTACGGCTTGGCTTTGAACTCCCCGAGGCATCAACTTGACCTGCAAGGGCGTTGGCTTAAAGATCAAGAATGCCTTCTGGTCAGTCCATTCGGAGTCTGATTTGTCAAACATCTCTATGTCATATTTGAAGAGTAGGCGTGCAAACGTTACACGTGCCTCGCCGAGATACAGCTTGCTGCCGATACAGTTTCGTGGACCAACCTGTGCAACAACGGTCAAATCAAAGAAATTGTCTTGTAAAACAATGAGAGAAACGTACAGAAAATGGCTTGCTAGCTTCGCGGTTGTCGTACCGGAAGCGCTCGTCGAAGTATTTGTGGGATTCTTCTAACCATCTTTCTGGATTGAAGCTAAGCGGGTCGTTGAAATGCGCCTTGTCCGTTTGTATAGCTTGAGGGCAAATTCCGATAATCGCCTGAAGTTACAAGTTAAGCTCTGCGAAGTAACTGAATTTTGGCAGGACTTTGTGGTTATACTCACCCCGCCGGGGATCCACTGGCCCGCGATTTTCAGCCCCTCTGAAGGCACCACTCTTGGCAGCGGAGAAGGCGTTGGATGGTGCATTCTGAGGCCCTCGTTGATAATAGCGTTCAGGTATGGCAACTCGAAGGTCGAGCCGACATCGATTTCTGCTTCATTCTGAAACGAACTCCGCACTTCCTCCGCAAGGCGATCGACAGTGCTTGGATTCCGCAGCAAGAAGTAGGTGGTGGCGGACAATGCCACGGTGGAGACCTCGCAGCCTGCGATGATCATGGCGAGTGTATTGCCGTCGAGCTCGCTCCGCGTAATACCTTCCTCCCTGCCTTCGTTGACGTTGCCAATAACAGGAGTGAGGAAATCCCATCGTTCGCCATCAAGACTGCCTTTGTGCAATCTTTCGGTGATGCTGTCGGTGACGTATTTCCAATTGTTTGCCCTTTGCTTCCTCGTCAGACGCAGAAACAAAAAGCCAAAGATCAGTTCAAGCGGGTGGAAGCGCGCGAGGCTAGTCCGCAAGGAGCCGAAAGTGACGCCCATCCAGAAATCATCAAGCCATGAGTGCTCGTTCTCGCCCTCAAGGCCGTGAAAAGACTTGCCAATCGATAAGTCGCCGATAATGTCGAGCGATAGGAATCCGTAGAATTTGGTGATATCCAGGGTCGTGCTTTTTTGCAGCTCTCGCTCTATGCGTTCTATGAATAGATCCACGTAATGCTGGATGATCGGGTTCTGCTGACGCAGAGCTTTATCAGAGAATGCATTGGCCAACGTCCTACGCATTCTCTGATGGGTCGCTCCCTGAGCAGTGAAAAGTGTGTCGGCACCATTTAACGGAGGCGTAAAACTTAACGGATCCTTAGGCAATTGCGGCTTGGCTTGATAAATATCCTTCCAGGCCTCTAACTCTGTGGTTGCCAGTTCATCCGGAGCAATGCGAACGATGCTTCCATATTGTTCATGGAGGTCGATCACGTATTTGTACGTCTTTCCCTGGAAATGGGACCTGATAAGTGGAAACCTCGAAAACTTGGCGAGGAAGGGTCCCGGAAATTCTCGAAGAGGATGGAAATAGACGTAGTATACCGTCCGCCAGACAATGTACTTGCTCGCTCGTTAGACTTTCTATTCGCGGTTCAGGAAATGCCAGGGGCAATACACACTGTGATTACTGAAACGGATGCAAATGCCAGAAATGTTTTACCATCTGGACCAAAGCCATATGCCATGGTTGATGTGCTGCAATATCCAATACTACAAGACGAGAGAGGTTTCAATTCGATGCTACCATGACCAGAGGATAGCTCAATATAAAAGTGAAGTCTAGACCTTGGTCAGCTCTCGCCAAGTCCTGAGAAGGATATAAAGATTATTATAGGATTCAAAGGATTCAAAGATCATCGAAGGATTCGAAGATCGTAGTAAGATAACTACAGTACGGAGTACTCCGTATAGCAGTAATAGTTTTCGATAACCCAGATTTCGCTTACATGCTGTTTGGGGATCAATGCTGCAGAACAATCAGCTCGGGCCGACCGAAGGAGAAGCAAAGACGGTTAGTTTAACTGTACTATAGTCTATTAGAAAATGCGATGTTTTGGTGAACCGCATGTTAATATAAGCCAGGCAGGGGGGAAAACTAAAACGAACCCCCCTCAGGTGTCGATTAGGGGTGTCGATAGCAAAATCTTTTTTTGGCTTAGCGCTCGGCATTTCCTCCCCCCCCCCGGCAAAGTATCGGACTGTTGATGAATTTTGGAGTTTTAATAATGCCTAATTCATTATTTATATATGCTTAAGCTTTTTTCTCGAATCAGATTTCTTAATATAGGTATAAGGAAATTTATATATAAGAGCTTTAGTTTTGAAGTATAAGAGAGCCTAGGTAATTATTGCGCATGAGGCAAAAGTTCCAGGTGCTTAATCGCTAAACTTTCAGGCTCTCTTAAGGTCAATATCGCTAATCGACACCCCCCTCCCCAAAATAATATTACTAATCGACACCCCAAATTAGTATCCCAAATTAATATCCCAAATTAATATTCTGGGAGGTATCGCTTTATATTTTCCCGTTTTATAAGAGGTTAAGAAGAAATAAGTTTTGCTATATACCTATGAGACCCTTATTTTTTTGACTAATTGCAATATAACCAAATTTATCTGGAAACGACGGGCGACGATAACGACGTGCTATTCAGAGATTCCACGACCGCCACACAAAACACTTATTACGTCAGCACGAGGAAGCCGCTGGAGGCTCACGACGATGACTCCAGCGCAGCCTTGGGAGTCTGGACGATGGGGCTGTACCGTGACCATGTTTGACATGACCTACAAGAGGTTACGATGTCCTGGAAGGCGGTGGCCGCGTGTCCAGGTCGAGCTGAGGTTTCTTCGGCCGACATGTAGGCCCGACATTCCACGACGCGCCTCTGCCCTGCCATGACGCGAGGTGCATCAATACTCATGCATGTAAGCAATACCAGTCAAGATGTGCCAGGCTGTGGACTATGAGGAAAGGCAGTGTTAAAGTACATGCTGTGCTCGGTAGCATTGACCACTGTGCTGTCAATGCTACCCACTCCGCTGTCATATTTAAACCACTTGTTCATAGTCATTCTTTATTTGAGAGAATCAACCATTCGTGAATCGGCTATGACAAGACTTTCGCCATACAGATACAGAGGTCCCGGTCAAAAGTATGGCCTACCCCCCTGTTGACCACCCTTGCCTGGCCACTACGGCAACGTCTGTCGTCAGCTGGCAGCCTGATAGAGCATAATATTTTAATTTTTAATTTTTTTAATAATTTAAAATAATTAATATTTTAAATATTTTAATAAAACTTAAAATTAAAGATATATAAAATAGTTAAAATTTGTAACGTTTTATTTAAAATATTAATTTATTATTATAACGGTTTATAATTAAAACATAAAAAAATTATATAATATATAATTAATTTAAATTTATAATTTTTTAATATAGAAACTATTAGAATTACAAGAGTAATATTACGTAATACTTCTGTATTCTATAATAATTAATTCTTGATTATTTTGTAACTATCTATAATACGTAAGGGGTTCTTATACTTTCTTACTCTTACGCTAGTACCGCTACTATTTTTCACCGGAGAAGATCCTTAGTACAGGGGAGTCTCCTGGTGCTTACTTAGTGTCTTTAGCCAGCCGAGAAGCTTTCCGGTATAGCTAGCTTCCGTTATTAATTCCATTATGAAACCCTTAATAAAGCTTAATATATTCACTAGCTCCTAATATTGGCAACTCTTCCTTTGTAGAGAGAATCGTGACCTCTTTACTTATAGAGTACAGCTACTGTAGTACGGCAGGCCGTACTCGTCAAAAAATCATGTTGTTTTGGCGGTTTGGAGGTTTAGGTCACATGGCAAAGGCTGCGGCCTTTTGCACGTGACTTGCGGAAATCACATAAGAAAGCTGGATTTTCTGTAGTCCTAGAGAATAATCCTTCGTGAGTATTCAATCAATTGAGCTTTTGCACACTGTACACTGTTTATGCTTTACTGTTTACGCTTTTGATTTGCTGTTTTGCTGTCAAGTCACGTTTTGCGCTCTGGTGTACTTTATGTGGATTTTTGTCTTGTCGCAGTTTCCCTCCCACACTACTCTCTCTTTACCCATCCTTTAACTCGTACTCTGACCTTGTTAGTTGAGACAAGGGTTTCTAAGGCCTTATTCGGGGTACTCTTTGTCATAGCGTTAGCGAGGTTATCGAGGCCGTTTATCCATCGGATCTCAAATAGCTCTCTTCGTTCGTACGACTAACGAAGGGCCACAATATCGGTCATTAGCCTCTTCTCCTTAGTTGTGCCGAGTTTAACGAGGCACTCATATAGCGAATATGAGTCGGTACAGACGATGAGAGGGGTGGCCGGTAGGTCTAGTTAGTCAGTGATTTTTGCTAGTGTCGAACCAATCGCGTACGCTAGGTCAGCGCCTGCAACCATTCCGTATATCTCTGAGGCGAGGACGCTTCTCGTCACTCTTTTGCTTTTGGTCGAGCTCCAATGGAGCAGGTTTCCATAGAAATCGAACTCATCGTCTCTTATAGTCTCGTTCGCTAAGAGAAGTACGAATCCAATCTGTGAGCTTAAATTTTTGTTATTGGCAAAAGAGCCATGAACAAATACGTATAGCTTAGCTGTAGAGAGGTCTAGTTTGACATATTTAAGACCACGTTCGGGGTTCTTTATCTGCCATTCGAGCCGCTTATTCAGGGCCCTGACGTCGTCCTGGGTCGGCTCTTGATATTGAGCTGCTGCAGATAAATCGAACGTAGCTTCTGGCTAACAGATTGAAGCGATATATGCTCCTCGGGCACATTAGACGTAGGTTTGCTAGTAGTTCGAGGCCTTTGTACTAATAGACTCGATTTCTGCTCCCTGGCCTTTTTGTTATAGGTTTAGGGTACCGTTCTCCTTAATCGATATAACGCATCCGTTAAATTATAGAGAGCTTGTATTACTTAGTATCTCTTTTGGCTTTGCAGTAAACTTAGCCTCCTTAAGCTTTTCGTATTCGAGAGTAGTAGATTTGTTATCTGATAGGCCAAGAGTATTATCTGTCTATATAGCTATAATACGGAATTTTTTCTTGCTAGTAAAGTTTAGAAGACAAGGGTTATATATTAAAGGATCTATAGAGAGCTTTTTCCTATAGTATTTAGAGTATATAACCTACAAGTATATGCCTGCTTCCGTAATATTATATAATGGCTTTAGGATAACTATAATAGTACTTTTAGGATACTAGTACTCAATTTCCTTTATAAGAGACGCAAGAATTTAATACTATAAAAAATTTATAAATTAGATATATACTTAAATAATATTATATATTTATAGAATTATCTTATATTCTTATAAAAGAGTCGGAGTAATAAAGAGAAGTAGTTTCTAGCTAGCTCTCTAAACTATTAGTAATTGAGTTAGAACTAGCTTTTTTTTAGTATTATTATAGACCTGAATAATAAGCCGTAATTTCTTATAAGTAGCTATAGTATTTTTGCCCTTAATTTCTTAAATAATTCTGGATTTAAAAATTCTTTAGTTCCTATATTTATACTTGTTATATTACTTAAAAGCAAAGACTTTATAGGCTACTAGTTCCTTGATTTCCTTTATATTAGAAGCTTGAAATATATTATATACTATATATAGATATATATATAGCTTTTTTATTATTCTTAGAATACTATTACTTATTATATTTATACTAATATATATTATATTTCATTTCTATAGCTTGTTTAGGCTATAATATAATAGTAATACCCTAAGATTTCGACTTCTATATTACTATTTTATTATAAGCTTTTAATTAAATTCTCGATTTATATATATATTATTTTCTAAAATAAACTCTAAAAACCTTTAGTTAAAAGACAAAACCCTTACTAGATAAGCTTCTAATAAAAATAAAAATAAAGAATAAAGAATAACTCTCTGCTTCTCTTTTAATATAAATTCTTTAGTAATTTTATTAAAAAAATAGTTTTAATAATACCGAATTATAATAGATTATATATTTTCTTTAATAAATGAACTTATAAGAGATTCCGGCTTCTATTACTCTTTCTATTTATTTCTTACTAATATTAAATTCTCTTTTTTCTTTTATTTATATATTTTAAATATTAGTTATTTTAATTTAGAGAATATAAATATAATAGAAAAGGTAATAATTTATATAAATATATTTATATAGCTTTCTATTTTTGCCTTTATAATATTATTTTCTTTTAATATTTAATAGAGCTTATAGCCCTGAATTTTTTTTTATCTATTCTAGTTTCTAAGTTTTATATTTCTTTTATTTTATAATTTAAGAAATATTCTAATATTATTTTATATATTCTAATTTCTTTTTAATTTACTTTTTATAATATTTGTTCTAATAAAACTATTCGTATATATATATATATAAGAAATATTTCGCTTTATTTATTCTTCTAGTTTTAAGTCTAAATTTAATACTTTTCTTTTAATATATAATTCTCTTAATACTTCTTTATATAACTATATTAATAAACTAATAGTAATAATAATTCTTGGCTAGTTCTTAACTACTATTAATAGAAAATAGAATCTCTAGCTAGATATAGCCTATTAAGCCCTTTAGCTAAGATAAAATTAAAATCTTCTTTCTAATTTTTCTAACCTTTTTACTAGTATTATTTTATTTCTTAATTCGGCTTTTAAGAACTTCCTAGCTCCAGGAAACTACTTTTATAAGCCTTATAAGGCTAGGGCTTACTAGATTAAACCAGAGTAAAGTAATCTCAATAACTCTAATAGTAATAGCCCTAGTCTAGCAAATCTATAGTATTAGAATTTTATTAAATAAAAGAAGAAGAAAGTTAAGAAGCTAGTTAAGGATATAGGCTAGGCTCAAATAGGGATATTTCTTTCTCTTTTTAAAAGAGATATATTATATACTATATATAGGTATATATATAACTTCTTTACTACTTTTAGGATACTATTATTTATTATATTTATATTAATATATATTATATTCTACTTCTATAGTTTATTTAGGCTATAACGGAATAGGAAACTAGAGTTCTTAATAATTCTATTATATTCTAGTTTTAAAAATAGCTCTAAATTCCCTTTTTCTTTAACTAGAATAAATAAGTCAAATATTATAAGATATTATCTATTTCTAAAGGTCTTTAGGAATTATTACTAAGAGTTCTTAGTTATCTCTAGTCTTATTTAATAATACTAGGCGGTTTATTAAATATCTATTTCTTTTCCTCTTTAGAATACTCGACTATAATAGTAATATTAGAAGTAGTTATTTCCTCTATTTTCTTCTCTATATAGTATAGCTTTATTTCTATTAAGCAGAAATCTATAGGTTTATATAGTATTTAAATTATATATATTTCTTTATTTAGTATAATTAGCTTAAATAAGCTATTCTAAATATTCTTTTTATAATATATTAGAATATCTAATTATAATAAAAGATTATATAGTTTATTAGTATTTGAACTATTTCTTATAGCTAAAGCCTTTCTAACTTATTCTTTAGTATATAAATAATATATTTCTTTTATAGCCTTATTTATAGCTTTAGCTTATTTAGTAATAGAAGGTAATAGAAAAGAGTCTTTTATAAGTTATAGGTATATACTAAATATAAATAAAGTTAGTATATTTACTTCTATTTATTAATATAAGTAATTAGTTAATTAGATCTAAATAAGAAGCCTGATTTACTAATAAAAGAGCCTAATTTTAAAATAATTTATAACTTTTTAATAAAGAATAAAAGCTAAAGTTTAATTAAATAAAAAGAATTAATATTTATAAAAAACTTAAATAATATTTTCTTAGATTAAATTCTATTAAAAATTAAAAAATATATATAATTTTATATTTTTAAATTAAAATTATAATAAAAAGATTTTAGAGTTCTAATAAAAAATAAAAGCTAATATTATTTAATTAATATAATTAACTTAACTATTTCTAATAATTTATATTAATAGAATTTTAATAATTTATAGAATTTAAAATATTTTAGTATTTTAAAAATTTACTTATATTTAATCTCGTATTTATAAACCGGAGTTCGCTTAAGCAAGCGATTAAGTAATCGGGGCCCGCGATTGGGTAATAGGGACCCCGATTAACTAATCACTCGTATTAATGAACAGGAGTGAACAGCTGGCAACCATAAGATCAGATTTGGAAAAGGGGATGCCCTCTCTCAGGGAACTATTAACGTCAATACACCCGTCGGCCTAATTACTTTCCATGTCGTACCAACAAGTACACCATTCTTGTTCTGTCTTCAAGATATGGACAGATTAGGAGTGAGGCATGATAATCTGACAAATGAGCTCATCCAAGGAAATAATATTGTCCCTATTATACGAAAATGGGGACACCCATGGATGCTACTACATCGCCAAGAAGAAGCTATAACATGGAGCCACCTTACAGAAACAGAGCTCCGATAGCTGCATCGTCGATTTGGTCACCCATCAGTACAACAGCTTGTACGAATTCTACAAAGAGCTGGCTATAATGACGTCGAGCAACAGGCCATTGAAAAACTCACTAAGTACTGCCACTAATGCCAGCTACTCGGGAAAGCGCCAGGAGGGTTCAAATTCACCCTGAACGACGACCATGAGTTTAACTACTATATCATTGTCGACGTCATGTATATCGACAATAAGCCAGTATATCATGTCGTCGACAAGGCCACAGCGTTCCAAGCAGCCAGATTCCTACAAGATATAAGCGCAAAAACGACCTGGGAAACGCTAAGGATTTGCTGGATCGATGTTTATTAAGGACCCACGGACATTACGGAGATCGCGGCATAAAGTATCGGGAATACAGCGCGTTGGGACTCTAAACCCACTATAGCGTGCAATAGTAGGGGCTGAGCCCGTTATAAGACCCTGTAACTCTAGGCTATACTCCCCGAAAGCATGCTATAAGACATTCGCAAGGTTATAGAAGATCTTTAGGGGTATTGGCGCTGCTAGCAGAGCAACTATAGTGCTCGGATGCTATAAGGAGAGCAATTATAGGGCTCTTTAGTAAGGTAGCCTCTATAACGACAGGAGAGAAGGCTTTAAAAGGTGTACTACCCCTTATTGACTGCTTATAGGGCATTTTCAGGGTAATAGCCTAGAAATATGGAGTCTTATAGCGGTTGAGTGTGCCAGAAATGAGCTCTATAGTGGACTTTTAGTACAAATGCCCTATATTCCCGATACTTTATACCGCGATCTCCGTATAGTCAGCGATGCTGGGAAGAACTTCGCATTAGGAGAATTCAAGCAGTACGCTCTAAGCCTGGATATCGATACTAAGGAGGTCCCTGTTGAAGCCCACAAAAGCGTAGGGAAGGTTGAACGATACCATGGCCCTCTATGCCGAGTATATGAAATCCTTACTACTGAACTACTAGCGACAAATAAGGATGTAATCCTTCAAATGGCAGTAAATGCCATAAACGATTCAGCTGGCCCAGACGGGATTATACTTGTTCACCCCCGTTCGTTAATACGAGCGATTAGTTAATCGGGGTCCCTATTACCTAATTACGGGCCCTAATTACTTAACCGCTTGCTTAAGCGAACTCCGGTTTATAAATACAAGATTAAATATAAGTAAATTTTTAAAATACTAAAATATTTTAAATTCTATAAATTATTAAAATTCTATTAATATAAATTATTAGAAATAGTTAAGTTAATTATATTAATTAAATAATATTAGCTTTAGTTTTTTATTAGAATTCTAAAATCTTTTTTATTATAATTTTAATTTAAAAATATAAAATTATATATATCTTTTAATTTTTAATAGAATTTAATCTAAGAAAAAATTATTTAAATCTCTTATAAATATTAATTCTTTTTATTTAATTAAACTTTAGTCTTTATCTTTTATTAAAAAGTTATAAATTATTTTAAAATCGGGCTCTTTTATTAGTAAATCGGGCTCCTTATTTAGGTCTAATTAATTAATTACTTATATTAATAAATAGAAATAAATATAGTAGTTATAGTATTAATTCGAAGTAATAGCTATAGCTTTTAAAAAGCTATTATTTAAGGCTTTCCTATTATAGAAACCCTAGCGGCTTTACTATTAAATATAATATCTTAAAAGATCTCTAATAAGTATTAATTAAATATAAAAGCTAAATATAGTTTAGGTAAATAAATATTACTTAATATACTAATTAGTATATTAAAGATATTTGTTTTAGTAATAAAATAAAAGGCAAATTAATTACTTAATATTTCTATAATTTATATATTATTAATATTTCTTAGCTTAGTAATATAGATCTCTAATTCGAGTTATTAATTATTTTCTTAATTTATAATTATTAAATTACTTTTATTAGCTTTTTATAATATTATTTATTAGTTTCTTAATACCTTTAATATTTACTAAAAAGCTTTAATAATAAATATATAAAAAGTTAAGATAAATAGAATATTACTTGAATTTATTATATACTTTTTAATATTTCTTAAAAATATACCTTATTAACTAGTAATTTAATTAGCTATAAATATAGTACTTTTCTAATATATAGTATTTCTAGATATAGAATTCCTATATTAATTAAATTAATATCTAAAATAGCTTCTAAAAAGCCTTTATTATAATAGTTCTTATAACCTTTATAATAATATTTTATTTTATTATATTTAAGTATTTATAAATTATAATTATTAAGCCTTTTAAGTTTATTTAATTATTTTTATAACAAATTATATTTATAAACAAACCGTTTTAAATATATTTTCTAGCTAAAATAAAGCTAAGCTATATTTAGAAATATTTTAATAAACTAATATAACTTAATTCTTAAAAGTATTTTTATTTTATTTAGGGAAATTATATTAAAGTTTTTTATAGTTTATTAAATAGTAATTACAAATATATAAAGTATAGGTTTATAAAATTATTATTAATTATTTTCTAAAAAGTTATTTTTTATTATTTAAATATTAAATCTAATTATTTAGTCTTATTATTTTTAAAATAAATTTTTATAAACCAAATTTTAGCTTTAAAGTTATAATATCTTTTATGAATTTTATTATAATAAAAGATTAAAGCTTTATTTATTTTAAAAATAATAATAATATTAAAATTAAATACTTATAATTTTATATATTATATATTATATATTTCTTTATTATACTTTTTTTTCTTATTTATATATATTTTTATTAAGTTTATAAACTTATATAAAAAGCTTTTATTATTAGCTAATAATAAAATAAATATATTATATAAATTTAAAAATAATATAAATAAAATATAAATAATATAGCTCTTATAATAAGAATTATAAATTAAAACAAAACTTTTTTTATTTGAGAATAAATTTATTATTATAATTATAAAATATAAAATAATTATAATATATTATATAAAGAAGCTATTAATAAAAATTATAAAATAAAAGCTTTATATTTATTTTAAAAAAATATATATTAATTTATTAGTAATATATAATATTATTATATAATTATAAAATATTATTTATATTTATTTAATAAAGTAATTTTATTTAAAAGTAGGAATTATAATATTATAATATTAAATTATAATTTTTAAATTTACTAAGCTTAATAAGAATTAGATTATTAATTAAATTAATTATATAATATAAAATTATATATTTATATTTCGTTTTTTATATTTTATTACTTATATTTCATTATTTATATTTTATTATATTTGAATTATATAATTATATTATATAATTCTCGAATTATTAATTATATTAATATTAAAATATTAAAAAAAATATTAAAAAAAATATTTCTCTCTAATTATATACTAATTTCAAATTTCTTAAATACTTTATATATTTATATATATTCTTTTATCTTATATTTTTATTTCTTTTTCTTTAATATATTTCTTTTTTATTTAATATATTTTTATTTATATTTAACTTATATTTTCATATTTAATTATATTATAGTTATATTAATTAAATATTTAAAGGCATTTAATAACTTCGATTTTATTATAAAATTAGCGAAAATCGATTTTTCTTTAATTTACTTAACTTTTATAATCTTTTATTATTTATATATTTTATAAAAATATATTATATTAATTCTTAGGTATTTCTTTTAAATAATATATAATTTATATAAATAACAAGTAATAAATTTCTTTTCTAATATTTTATTAATTATAAATTTAATAAAAGCACTTATAGTAATATTATAAATTATATTATATAATTTTAAAACTAGAATACTTTTAGTAATTCTCTTATATTTAATAAAAAACTAATAGAAAATATTAATATATTTCATACTATTTATTAAAACTAGAATATATTTAATTTAAGAAAAGAAATCTTTATTATATATAAAGAATAATTAAATATAAAAATATCTTAATTAGCTTTATAAAATATAGTTCTTTAATAATACGTTTAATTTACTATTAAATATCTTTATAATAGTTTTTAATAATTTAATAACTTAAATAATAATTAATATATTATATAAAGCTTTTAATTAATAAACTAATATAATATAAACTTTTTTAATATATGAGATAATATATTAATTCTTAATAAAAAGATCTTAATATATAATATTTTTATTAAACTTGAAATTATAATTAAAAATAAGGTATTTATATTTTTAAAGCTTTAATTATTTCTAATAAATAAAGTATTATTAGTTTAAACGCTAATAATACTAATAAATTACTAATTATAAAAAAGGCAAGAGTTATAAATTAATTATTTTATAAAAAGATTATTAATATAATAAAAATAATAAGTTTTAAACTTATAATTTTATAACTTTTAGAATAAAATTATTTTTTAAATTTAATTATATAATAAGTTTATAAAATAAATTAATATAGAAATTAGAATTAAATAAAGTTATTAATTAGATATAAGCTTATAAAATATTTTATAAATAGTTTTATAATATCTATTATTATAATAATAATACTAAAAATAACTCTTTAACTAATATATTAAATAATAAATAATTAAATTAATATATTATACTTGTTTTTATTATTATAAGCTTAAATAATAAGTTTTTTTTTTAGCTTTTTTTTAATATTCTTATTCTTAATTTTATTAATAAAAATTTGAAATTAAAGATATATACTTTTTCTAATACTTGGGATTTAGAAATAATCTTAAATTATTTTTTAAAAAAAGCTAATAACTTTAGTTTAATAAAAGTTCTTATATTAAATATTATTTTATAAGAATATTATAATATTAGAGTTCTTATAAGATAATTCTTTACTATACTTTAATAATGATATATTTATATTACCTTTATTAATATTAAAATTTTTAGAATTAATTTAAATTTTTAGAATTTAATAAAATTTAATAAAGGCTATATAAAAAAATAATATTATATAATAATAAAGCTAATATATAAGTTCTTTTATTAATAGCTATAAGCTTATATAATTTCTTCTAATTATTAAATTAATTAATATTTTCTTTATATTATATAAAAACTTTAAAATTTATTAAATTTTTATTAATATTAATTATATTTAAATTATTTCGAGTATTTAATATATTTATTCTTTAATATCTAGTACTATCTTTTAAAAGCTATTAATTATTATAAAATAATAAATAATAAAATATTATATTTAATTATTTAAAATATAATATCTTTATTAATTTTATTAATTTTATTAATTTTATTAATTATAGCTATAATATTAAATTAATTATATTAAATTAATTTATAATAATATTTTATAATTCTAATAAAGTTATAACCTTTTATAAAAACAATTTTAATCTTTATATTTATAGTATTTATAAATTACTTTTTAGTATTTATTATAATTTAATTAAAAGTACCTAAATAAATATTAATTTAATATTATTTTAGGGGATTTCAAATATATATAATTCTAATATTTTAGAGCTATTAACTAGCTTAATATTAAGTGCCTTTATTAATAATATAAAATATAAGCTTTTTAAAAATATAAAAAATATTAATAATAATAAAATAATTAAAGCTAATATTATTTATTAAATTAAACTTGAATTATTTTAATTATTCGAATTACTAGTATAATTTATAGTACTTTATAAAGTATTTAAGGGCTTCTATATTAATATTATAATCTATTTATTCTAGTATATTTTATAGTTTATTAATTAATAAATAACTAAAATAATAATATAAATATTATAATTCAATTTTTATAAGAAAGCAAGAATTATAAATAAAGAATTCAGAAATAAAGCATTATAATATTATATATAAGGTATTTATTAGTAGGCAATAAAATAATAGAATAAATTAGTATATTATAAAACTATAGTATTAAATTTAGTATAGAACTAATCTCTATTCCTCCTATAAGGTCCAGGGAAGCCCCCTCTAAATAGAAGGCCCTAATAGTATATATATAATTAGTAATTTATAAGCCTAATATATATAATATAAATAGTAATTAGTTGAGATATTAAAAGGCTACTAATCTTCCTAATTAATACCTATAATATCCGAGGTTTATTATAT